GGAGGTTGCAGTGAGTGGAGATCACACCACTGCACTCTAGCCTGAGCAACAAAGTAAGAATCCATCTCAAAAAAAAAGAAAGAAAGAAAGAAAGGGAAGGAGCAAATATGATGAAATGTCAACACATGGAGAATTTGGGTGAAGTGGATATGTGGCCCCTGAGGCAGGAGGAAAATCAGGGGACCATGTTATCACAGAAGCCAGAAGTCAGCATTTTCAAACCAGGAGAGTGAGCGTCCAGTGCCTGCTGCTGACAGGTCAAGTAAAAGGAGTCAGAACTGTGGCCACTGGATTCGGAAACATGGAGGTTGCCACTGATCTTGGAAAGTTCCATGATGTGGTGAAGTTGGAAAGCAGAATGGAAGGTGAGGAAGTGGGATGTCTTATACATCACTCCATCCTGGCCAACATGGTGAAACCCCATCGCTACTAAAAAAAAAAAAAATTAGCTTGGCATGATGACACACACCTGTAGCCCCAGGTCCTTGGGAGGCCGAGGTGGGAGGATCACTTGAACCTGGGAGGGGCCACTGCACTCCAGTCTGGGTGGCAGCACCATCACGTAAGAGACATTTTGGTAATTAGGGAACAGAAAACAGAGCCCTGCTGTAGGGGGACTGGTCAGAAGAGGAGATTTTAAAAGCAAACACTGGAACACACCTGTGTGTGAGTGGCACGAGCCCACACAGTATTTATGAAGTGGGCAGGCAGCTAGAAGCCAGGGAGGGGTCTTAAACAGGATCAGAGGATCCATTTAACAGAAGGTGGGAAAAAATTTAAGGTAAATATATAGATTTGGGGTGGGTGGATTAAAGAGTTGCCCACTGATGCCCTCAAGTTTCTCCACAAATTATGAATGTTAAAGTGAAGCTTTGCTCAAGAATTTATAGTGAAACCAATGGTATGCTTCTCTGTGGCCACGAGGGGGCAAGGAGGCTGGGGGAGTGGAAGACCCAGAACTGCTTGCCCCCTTCCTAGGACTGATGTTTCCCCAGTGACTGGCACCATTTGCCCTGTACTTGTCCTTTCAAGGGAGACTATGGATCATAGCCCAGAACTGACAGGAGGTAACTGGCACTTCTCCTTCTAAAGAAGTGGGGCGGCCAGGTGCAGTGGCTCACGCCTGTAATCCCAACACTGTGGGAGGCCAAGGTGGGCAGATCACCTAAGGTCAGGAGTTCGCGACCAGCCAGGCCAACATGGTGAAACCCATCTCTATTAAAAATACAAGAAAGTAGCCAGGTATGGTGGTCAGCACCTGTAATCCCAGCTGCTCGGGAGGCCGAAGCAGAAGAATCACTTGAACCCGGGAGGTGGAGGTTGCAGTGAGTTGAGATCGCACCACTGCACTACAGCCTGGGCAACAAGAGCAAAACTCCATCAAAAAGAAAAAAAAAAAAGAAGGGGGTGGCTGGTGGAACTTTGTTTCCTCCTACAGAGCCTCCCTGGGAAAGCATCCCTCTAAACTGTGACCAGGCATCAAAGAGGTAATTACCATAATATTCAACAGACCTGTGACAACGAAAAGTCCCTAATTCTGGTGGACCCGCATCTGTACAGCTTTCTTGCTCACCCTTGGTAGGCAGGCTCTAAGGAGGAGTTTTTTTCTTTTGATGAAACAGGGTTTCACTGTCACCCAGGCTGGAGTACAGTGGTACAATCTCAGCTCACTGCAACCTCCATCTCCCCAGTCCAAGTGATCCTCCCACCTTGGCCTCCTGAGTGGAGAGACTGCAGGCACGTGCCACCAGACACAGCTAATTTTTATATTTGTTGTAGAGACAAGGTCTTGCCATATTGCCCAGGCTGGTCTCAAACTCTGGAGCTCAGGTGACCCACCCTCCTAGGCCTCCCAAAGTGCTGGGATTACAGGTGGGAGCCACCACACCCAACCAAGAAGTTTCTTGACGTCAGAGCACAGCAGCAATTTCAGCTCCATTTTCCTCTCAGTGCTCTCATCCGTGGAAAGATGATTTCTACCTTGTATGTCTTCGGGAGGATTAAAGAAAGGATCATGTAAAGCAGGCAGAGGAAGCTCAGCAGATGACAGTTGCTGTCATTATCATTGTCCCATCCCTATTTCACACTGAGAAAACAAAGCTCCCAGAAGAAAAGGGGTGCACTGAAATTAGCAGCCCTGGTGGGACGAAGGATGCCAATGGTAGTGGGGAAGACGGGGGGAAACGCCATTTGAGTTTATTGCTGATGGCTATGCAGATTGGTACGACTCTTTGGAAGGGTAATTAGGTCATGTTTAAAATGTCATACTTTTGACTCTGCAATTCTGCTTCTAGGAATTTAGCCACCAGTACTTGCACAAAAGAATGACAGCTACAAGCCCGAGAATGCTCACCATAGCATCATTCTCCATAGTGAAATAGACATCAAAACTGTGAAGAAATTATTAAATGAATAAAAGTGCATCCTGGCCAGGCATCGCGGCTCACATCTGTAATCATGGAAACTTGGGAGGCCAAGGCAGGTGGATCACTTGAGGTCAGGAGTTCAAGATCAGCTTGGCAAACATGGTAAAACCCCATCTCTACTGAAACAGTACAAAAATTAGCTGGGTGTAGTGGCGTGCACCCGTAGTCCCAGCTACTCTGGAGGCTGAGGCAGGAGAATCACTTGAACCTGGGAGGTGGAGGATACAGTGAGCCAAGATCATGCCATGGCACTCCAGCCTGGGTGGCAGAGCAAGACTCCGTCTCAAAAAAAAAAAAAAAAAAAAAAGTCCACCCTGAGAACTGCAGACCTCTCAGCACATGACAACTCCATTCTAGCCTCTGCACTAAGAGATGGCCAAACACTAGCATGGCTTCTAGAAGCACAACGTCCTAGGATGACCCCAGCACCCCCATTACAATGCCTGCCAGACCTCAATGGTGCAGGAGAATTTACTATTTGTTTTGACCAACATCACCTAATGACAGACCCCTGGGATCTCCCTTTGAGCATTTACTAAAAATGGCTTACAAATATGAATCCCGCCTCTATCCCTTTGAGATGTATATGTATCTCATTCAGTTCAGGAGTGTCTTTCTCAAGGACCTGAAAGCCGACCTTCAGAAATGTTCATAAGGAAGTTTAGACTCCTCCGGTCTCTGTGGAAAGACAGAATCCTAACTTCTATGATTGACAGCTGGCCTAATGACATAAGGTTGACAAACCCTTTGTGATTTTTCGCTGGAGTCCCTTCTATCGCAGGTGTTCCCTTTGCTTGTTTCCTCCCTCCCCCATGCTTCCTTTCCTTCCCATTATCTTTCTCCCGTTTTAACCACTTGTAAATTCTCACCTACCCATAGTGTTGCTATTTTTTTTTTTTTTTTTTTTTTGACACGGAGTCTCATTCTGTCGCCCAGGCTGGAGTGCAGAGGCGTGATCTCGGCTCACTGCAACCTCCACTTCCCGGGTTCAAGTGATTCTCCTGCCTCAGCCTCCGGAGTAGCTGGGATTACAGGCACCCGACACCATGCCCAGCTAATTTCTGTGTTTTTAGTAGAGACAGGGTTTCACCATGTTGCCCAGGCTGGTCTCGAACTCCTTACCTCATGATCCGCCCACCTCAGCCTCCCAAAGTGCTGGGATTAGAGGCGTGAGCCACCGCGCCCACCATGACGGTGCTATGAGTGCTTATCCTGGAGTCTTAGGCTCTCTCTGGTGCCAAATGTGAGACGCCCATAGCCTCTCCCCACATCTCCAACCTGTCTCCCCCGCTAAATCGTGAGCTCTGTGGGAACTTTGCTCAGGCTTGTCTTGTTCACCAACGCTTCCCCAGTGTCTGGCACTGTGCTCAACCCCCTCCATGCCCTCGCTCAAGTTCAATCGATGTTTGATAGAAAGATGAAGAGACTAGTTCGGTCAGAGAGAAGAGCATGATCACAGGAGGAAGACGTTCAATCAAAAGCTGTGTGCAGGGCCAGGAGCGGTGGCTGACGTTTGTAATCCCAGCACTTTGGAAGATCTAGGCGGGAGGATCGCTTGATCTCAGGAGTTCAAGACTAGCCTGGGCAACATGGCGAAACCCCGTCTCTACTAAAAATACAAAAATAGCTGGGCGTAATGGCGCCAGCCTGTAATCGCAGCTATTCGGAAGGCTGAGGCAGGAGAATCGCTTGAACCAGGTAGGTGGAGGTTGCAGTGAGCCCAGATCGCGCCACTGCACTCTAGCCTGGGCGACAGAGCGAAATCCTGCCTAAAAAAAAAAAAAAAAAAAAAAAAGTTGTGTGCAGGTAACAGCAAGTAGTCCCAAAAGAGTAGATCGAGGTGTGTGCAGAGGGTAATACTCGTGATATTCGCTTCTGTGTAATTAGCACCTTTGGACATCTGCGTCAGGCTCTATACTGACAAAGAGCGCACTGGCGACCACAGCGCACTGCCTGTACGGTGATGGTACCCAGCATTTAAGTGTGATAGAAGCCACACACCACCCCCAAAAGCAGCACCCACAACAACCTATAATTTGTAGGGGGTCACGGACCCAGAAGCCCAGCCATGGACCACGGTTTAAGTACCCCGAGTCCAGCTGGAACAATAAACATGAAATGAGCCGTGATAGAAATAAGGAAGGAGCCGACAGCTTCAGAGGCGGTGGCGAGGAGAGGGCCTTAGAGTCAGGGAGGGGACGACAGTGGGCCCAAACTTCTCTGGGGCCCAGGAAGAGAGGACCTCCTTCCCTTCACCAGGCTACCGGGAACCGACTGCAAGATCTTGGCAAGAAATGCCATGATCTCAAGGGCGGCACCGAGAGATGACGCAAGTGGCGTGCCAGGCTGCGCCAATGCGGGACCGCCCCGCCCCCGCCCAATGCATTGTGGGACCTAAGGGCGCCTGTTGGACACCTAATCTCGCGAGAGAGCGAGATCCACCCGGAACACGGCGGTGAGAACGGGGTGGGCCCTCCTCAGCAAGAGTCCCGCCCCCACGGCGGGCATGGGCCAATCATAATACCTCTCCCTGTTGGCCGCTGGGATTGGTCTGAGGGTGCACATGACCGGACTGTGGGACACGTGACCGAGACGCTGTCGATCCTGCGACCCTCCTGGTACAGTCCGGGAGCAGAGGTTTTGCTCCGGCGGGAAAGGGCTGGAGAAACCTCGGTCTGAGGCCGGCGTTCGGAGACTCACGGCTTTCGGAACAGCCGAGCTAGCGGACTTCTCGCCTGGCCCTCCGCTCGCGGCCGTGGGCAGGGCGGGTTAGGTCACTTGCTAAGGAAAGAACCCAACCAGTTTGTCACGTGTTCCTCTCCCAGTGACTTGTACCTCAGTTTCCTTGCCAGTGAAGTGGGCCCAGTGCTGCCCGAAAAAGGTTGCTCTGGGGCTTGCCTGAGACGGGACGCGTGGAAATGCCCTGCCGAGCGTAAATGGGGCGATGGCCTCGCGGGACGGAGCGGCCTGGGAAAGCTCACCGTGGGTCGGGTAGCGGAGCGGAGCCCCAGGGCCTCGGCTGACTTAGTGGGTATGTGGCGGGCCCGACGCCACTAGGTGTGGACCACTGGCTTTTGTTATCTTTACGACCTCAGTGAGGGTCAGAAGTGGCCGCGAGCCCTGTAGGAGAGGCCTGGCTGGGGGCGCACAGCCTGGAAGTGGAGAAACACGGCTGGACCCTGCTAAACCCACAGACCTCCGCCAGGTCGCTCTTGCGAGGCAAGAAGCGAGGGTTGGCGAGCCAGCTGGGAGTACCCACCACCTCCATGCCTTTTGGAGTCACCCAAACCTCAGCGACAGCCCAGCCTGCCCAAAATACTGATGAGCTTGGAGGCCGGGGCCCTGGCTTCTCAGTCAGGGTCTCCTCCCCATGGCGGCAGAGCTGTCTGGCGTTTTCAGCCCTTTATACCAAGGGCAAGAGGGCCGCAGGCCAGAGCCAACAAAAAAGGAGAAGCAGAGGGAATGAGAAACCTGGAAGCTGGAACGGGAAGGAGGGAGTGAAATGGGCAAAGGCCCAAAGAAAAACAACTCCCCCCCTCCTAAGCTTAGTTCATTTAACTCTGTAAATACCTACCGAACATGCCTACTGGATGCCAGGCGCTTTTTCTAGGCACTGGGCAGCTAGCATTAAACAAGAGGCAGAAATCTCTGCCTTCAACAAAATCTATGCTGTGTTGAAGTAAGTGCTACAGGGAAAAGCTAAAGAGGGAGAGAGGCGAGAAGGGTATGGAGGACAGGGAGACATTTACGAAAGAGGCATAGAGGGCTTTACTGAGAAGGCGACTAGGAAGGAAGCGAAGGAAGGGCATTGCAGGCCAGGCTCATTGTGTGCAAGGGCCCTGGAGTGGAAGTGATCATGCAATGGCGTGAGCGTGGGTTCGAGTAGTCGGTGATGGTTAGAGAGGTAATACGTGGCCACCAAAAGGACTCAGTGACAGTCATTGCAGGATTCTAAGAACTGACATGGTCTCTGTGATGTAGCAATCTGCTAGTCTGTTGAGAATTAACAACTCTGAGGCCAGAGTAGGGGCAGAGAGCCCCTGGAGGATCAGGGGCTGCAGAGATAATCCAGAGATGAGGGTGGCTTGGACCACCGTGGTAGCAGTGCAGAGAGGGAAAGGGAGGTGGGTTTTGGAGGCATTTCGAAGAAAGAATTGGATGATTGCCAGTTCCATGTTACTAACCATAGGTCCACTGTCCTGGAAACCTTTCTTCTTGAAGGCACCTTCCCTTCACTTCTGCTTCAAGTTCCCATTCCACAGAGGGACAGAAACTCAGTCTCAGTGCATCCCGGATCCCACCCTTCAGTGCTGGGGGTTGTGGCAGCCAAGTCATGTGTGGTAGGTAAGGATGGGAAACCTGTCCCCTGTCCCCTTGTCCCTCTGCACTGGCATCCGCAGAGGCCATCTGACTCCACGATGGTCCAGCTGGAGCATAGCATGTCCTGCTCCACGTCCAGCTTCCCTTCAGCTGCCTCCACACCTGCTGCTTTCTAATAACTGCCAGGTGGTCTTGCAGGGGCCAGCCCCGTGGAGTCTAGTGGGTGTTCTTTTGTGTGCGGAGACGATAGATCACAGGAAAGAAAGTCACGAGGACACAGAAGAATTCAGCTGGGCCTGGGGACCACTGCTACTGAGTCTCGGAGTCCAGCAGTGGCCCAGAACACCTGGACACGCTGATATTTATTGTATACAAGGCAGGGGGGCAGGGTCAGGAGAGTGACTCATCTACTGTGATTGGTAGGGGTCAAGCAAATCACATTCTTACAATACAGGGAACCACGTGGGTACAGTACAGAGGGCCCCTCCCTCGGCCACTGCAGAGAGGGGAGGCACATATGTCAGTATCTTTCTATGCACTTACCAGAGAGATCAAAGGGTTTTAGGATTCCTCTATTCTAAGAATTTACGAGGGAGTATCGGGTGGGAAAGTGGAGCATGAAAGTGGACAAGGATGGTGACCATCGGAGCACAGCACCATGAAGAGGTGTTTAAGCCCCTGGATGTCTGCGGGCCAGCCTGGCTAGTGTCAGACCTTCCTCGAGAGCCAGACAGAGCCGGACGGAGCAGTGTTCTCTGAGCTCCACAGTGAAAGAGGAACTCCCCCTCGCGCCTGCTAAGCAACGGGTGCCTCCCCAGGTGCTGGGCTGGCGTTACTGCAAGGCCTGCCTGCTAAGCAACAGGCCTTCCCAGGCACTGGCGCTACCACAAGGCGTTTACCCTCGTCTCTTCATCGCTTCTCACAATGTTCTTTCAGTTTCTAATTATATTTCACCCGATTATTTCTACACTATAAGGCTAAAAATGTTCCCACACTGTAATACTAAAGCAAAGGTTAATAACAGAATAATAATGTAATAAGATCGAGTATATAATTGATTATGTGATTGTATCTAAGTCATTGCTGTAACTAAGTAATCAGTAAATACATTTGGTACCATTGCTATATCTAATCAGTTATTTATTATGCTGGGACAGATTGTGCCTTCAGTCTCTTGCCATGGCACCTGGGCAGCTTTCTTCCCACATGGTCTCAGGCCTTCTTCCCAGGCAGCCCCCAGCAGCTTCCTTGCTGTTCTCACTGAGCTGGACGCCTCTCTGGAGCAAGAAGGAGCTATGCCCTTTGCTCCCAGAACCCCAGACCACCCTCAATGTGTCTATCATCCTTGCCCGGGCCAGGGCAGATGCCCCTGTTTAAGACCGCAGACCTCACCTTCCTGCCTGTCCTGTGATCCTCCCATCCCTGACCCTACCCTGGCCTGTGGAATATTCCCAGAGAAACTCGCTCTGACGTGTCCACTCCCCCCTCCCCCACAGCTCACTCTCAGCTCCGAGCCTGCCCCACAAGGCTATGCAGGTGTTTGGTGAGCCAGTGGGGGTGAAATTGGCACATTGCTTGTCCTGGCTGGGGCCTGCATGCAAAGAAGTGGAGAGGCACCTTTTCCTAATCTCCACAAAGGCACCTCGGAGCCACCATTGGCCTTCAGTGCTCACAAGCCTCTGGAAGGTCAAAAGCGAGGAGCTGGCCCTTGCTCTTCCGTGTTCTGTTGTAATGGTCCTCGCTAAAGGCAATGGTGAGCTCTGGCCCAGCTGCCTGAATGAGGAGACATTTGGAGGGGACATTGTACTGTTCATAAAAAATATTATTTCCTTTCTTTGCTGGGAAGTGTCCCTCTGAAAGACAAGGAATGTTGTACCCTACTCCAGCACCCATGACCTGGGCCCCGAGAGCCTCACCAGTGACAATTTCAGCTTCCTTTGTTAAATAGACATTACTATATAATTTTATATATTTTTTAATCATATATTTTCTCACTCTGTCACCCAGGCTGGAGTGCCGTAGGGTGAACTCGGCTCACTGCAACCTCCACCTCATGGATTCAAGTGATTCTCCTGACTCAGCTTCCTGAGTAGCTGGGATTACAGGTGCATGCCACCATACCAGGCTAATTTTTGTATTTTTAGTAGAGACGGGGTTTGCCCATGTTGGCCAGGCTGGTCTCAAACTCCTGACCTCAGGTGATATGCCTGCCTTGGCCTCCCAAAGTCCTGGGATTGTAGGTGTGAGCTACCATGCCCAGCCTATAGTTATAATTTTATGTATTTATTTTGAGACACAATCTCCTTCTGTTGCACAGGCTGGAGTGCAGTGGCACAATCTCAGCTCCCTGCAACCTCCGCCTCCTGGGTTCAAGCAATTCTTGTGCCTCAGCCTCCCGACTAGCTGGGATTACAGGCATGCGCCACCACACTCAGCTAATTTTTGTGTTTTTAGTAGAGATGAGGTTTCACAACGTTGGCCAGGCTGATGTGTCTTGAACTCCTGTCCTCAAGTGATCTGCCCACCTATAACTTTAAGCAATGGTCTCGTTCTCCTGCCCAGGCTTGAGTACAGTGGCCTGAACATGGCTCACTGCATCCGTGACCTCCTGAGCTCAAACGATCTTCCCGCCTTGACCCAGGAGGTGCTGGCACGAGCCACCACGCCCCATGTGTTCAGATTTTCTTCATGTTCCTTTTCTGTTCCAGGATCGCATGCAGGACACCACGTCCCATTTAGTTGTCCAGCACAGTTTTAATTCTGTAGGTGCAGTATTAAGAGAGGAGGCTGAAGACGCACATACTTGCTTAATTTTTCCTTCGTTACTTGCTGGGGATGGCAGCAGCAGCTTGCGGCTGAGTTTTGGTGTTCTTCCTGACGGTGACAGCCGAGCAGGCACTAGGTCCTTGCAAAATGCAGGACGCTAGGCAGGGTATTCACCTTGCACAGTGTCCCTTCTCACACCGCCCCTCAGGTTGGGAGTGATGGTTTAATGTGTACGGAATTTCTCTTTGGGATGACGAAAGTGTCTGGAAATAGACGGTGGTGATGGTTATGCCACTTTACAACTTTACTTAATGCCACTGAATTATACACTTCAAATGATTAAAATGGTAAATTTTCTCTTTTACCACAATTTTTTAATCAAGAAATAAAGATGCAACTTAAGACGTATGCTTTTTGGCTGGGCACAGTGCCTCACGCCTGTAATTCCAGCACTTTGGGAGGCGGAGGCGGGCAGATCACAAGAAGTTCGAGACCAGCCTGACCAACGTGGTGAAAACCCATCTCTACTAAAAATACAAAAATTAGCCAGGCGTCATGGCGGGCGCCTGTAGTTCCAGTTACTCAAGAGGCTATGGCAGGAGAATCGCTTGAACCCGGGAGGTAGAGGTTGCAGTGAGTTGAGACCACACCATTGTATTCCAGCCTGGGTGACAGAGTGGGACTCTGTCTCAAAAAAAAAGAGTGAATGCTTGTATGCATAACCTTCTGGGCAGATTTTTGGTTGGGCATGACGGTTGTTCTAGGCAAGTGACCTAGGTCATTCTAGGGTGTCCGATCTTTTGGCCTTCCTGGGCCACATTGGAAGAATAAGAATCATCTTGGGGCACAGATAAAATACACTGAAGAGAGCTAATGAACAGGGAAACACAAAATAAAAAAAATAAAAATAAACATAATTTTTTTTAGAGAGATTCAGTAGCCAGTTACATTTAATAAGAAAAAACTATACTAGCAAAATTAAAATTCTCGAAAGACTGATAAAATCTATGTAAGTAATAATGGCATTCTTTTTTTATTGTACTTTTTTATTGTAGATCTGGGGTACGTGTGCAGATCTTGCAGGATTGTTGCATAGGTACACACATGCCGTGGTGGTTTGCTCTTTCCATCCCCCCCTCACCTGCATCAGACATTTCTCCCAATGTTATCCCAACCTCCCCACCCCTCACTGTCCCTCCCTAGCCCCCACACCACTCGGTGTTTGGTTTTCTGTTCTTGTGTCAGTTTGCTGAGAATGATGGTTTCCAGATTCATCCATGTCCCTACAAAGGACATGAACTCATCCTTTTTTATGGCTGCATAGTATTCCATGGTGTATATGTGCCACATTTCTTTGTCCAGTCTATCATTGATGGGCATTTGGGTTGGTTCCAGGTCTTTGCTATTGTAAACAGTGCCACAGTAAATGCAGTGTGCGTGTGTCTCTATAATAGAACAATTTATAATCCTTTTGGTATATGCCCAGTAATGGGATTGCTGGGTCAAATGGAATTTCTATTTCTAGGTCCTTGAGGAATCGCCACACTGTCTTCCACAATGGTTGAACTAATTTACACTCCCACCAACAGTGTAAAAGTGTTCCTATTTCTCCACGTCCTCTCCAGCATCTGTTGTCTCCAGATTTTTTAATGATGGCCATTCTAACTGGCGTGAGATGGTATCTCAATGTGGTTTTGATTTGCATTTTTCTAATGACCAGTGATGATGAGCATTTTTTCATATGTTCATTGGCCTCATAAATCTCTTCTTTTGAAAAATGTCTGTTCATATCCTTCACCCACTTTTGAATGGGTTTTTTTTTCTTGTAAATCTGCTTTGGTTCTTTGTAGATTTTGGATGTAAGTCCTTTGTCAGATGGGTAGATTGCAAAAATTTTTTCCCATTCTGTTGGTGGCCGGTTAACTCTAATGATTGTTTCTTTTGCTGTGCAGAAGCTTTTAAGTTTAATTAGATCCCATTTGTCTATTTTGGCCTTTGTTGCCATTGCTTTTGATGTTTTAGTCATGAAGTCCTTGCCTACACCTATGTCCTGAATGGTTTTGTCTAGGTTTTCTTCTAGGGTTTTTATGGTGTTAGGTCTTGTGTTTAAACCTTTAATCCACCTGGAGTTAATTTTAGTGTAAGGAAGCGGTCTAGTTTCAGCTTTCTGCCCATGGCTAACCAGTTTGCTCAACACCATTTATTAAACAGGGAATCCTTTCCCCAGTGCTTGTTTTTGTCAGGTTTGTCAAATATCAGATGGTTTTAGATGTATGGCATTACTTCCAAAGCCTCTGTTCTGTTCCATTAGTCTATAGCTCTGTTTTGGTACCAGTACCATGCTGTTTGATTACTGTCACCTTGTAGTATAGTTTGAAGTCACATAGCATGATGCCTCCAGCTTTGTTCTTTTTGTTAAGATTTTCTTGGCTGTCTTTTGGTTCCATATGAAGTTTAAAGTGGTTTTTTCCAGTTACATGAAGAAGGTTGATGGTAGCTTGATGAGGATAGTGTTGAATCTACAAATTACTTTGGGCAGTATGGCCATTTTCGAGATATTGATTCTTCCTAACTATGAGCATGGAATGTTTTTCCATCTGCTTGTGTCCTCCCTTATTTCCCTGAGCAGTGATTTGTAGTTCTCTTTGAAGAGTTCCTTCACATCCTTTGTTGGTTGTATGCTCACAACGTTTTTTAAAAGTTTACAATTTGTGTTGGGCCGCATGCAAGCCGCAAGTTGGACAAGCTGTCTCTGGGTGGTTCCAGGCCTCCCTCCTGGCCCAGCTGGCCAGGCAGATGGAGGAGATTCTGCTGCTGCCTCTCCAGCAGTCCTGGGAGGAAAGGTCTCATGGAATTAAAGGAAGTGGCTAGTTAATACCTGCTAGCGCCAGCTCCGCGCAGGGCCCAGCCCCTTGTGCCAGGACAGTGGCAGCCGCGGGCGCCGAGCGCTGGTGGGGGTCCTGGGCGAGCTCCCAGCATCCCAGCCCTCTGCACTGGAAGCTGCTGTGCTCGTGGACGTTCGGGAGAGAGGGAAGGCGCGCTGGAGGATTCCCAGCCCGTCAGCACGGGGAAAATGGAAGGAGAGGACCCGGCCCATGCCCCCTGGTGGCTCGAAGGCTCTAGACCCAGTCAGCTTCTGGGTTCGAACCCTCTTCCGTCTCCTGCTATCTTTGAGACTTCAGCAAGCTACCGACTGCCTTTTCCAAAGCTGTTCCCTGCCCTTCACATTGCAGAGTTAACCCATCTGGTGGAGCTGGGGGCACTGGAGGAAGCTGTTAGAAACTGCCAGAAGCTGCCGGCGGGCGCGTGGTGAGGACGCAGTCCTCTCCCTCCAGTAACGGGCGTGCCCGCTAATCCTCTGTCCAGAGTGTGCAACAGGCCGGTGTCTGACCACGCTCCCAGTCCACGGTTCCGCGATTCCAGGCCGGCACATCCCAGGATTCAGTTTCAGGGTTCTGCCCCTTCCTGAGTCAGCTCAAGTGCAGCAGGGACAGGCCCTGTTGGGAAGAACGTGCCGGCCCAGGCCATCTGTTATCTGTCACACCAGTATCCGTGCAAGAAAAGCATCAAGCCTTTTTTTGTCTTTCTTCTTTTGAGACAGGGTCTCACTCTGTCACCTGGGCTGGTGTGGTGTGATCAGGGCTCACTGCAGCCTCGACCTCTCAGTGCCCAAGCAATCCTCCCAGCTCAGCCTCCCAGGTGGCTGGGACCACAGGCCCTTGCCACCATGTCCAGCTAATTTTTTTTTTTTTAAGACAAAGCTTCCCTCTTGTTGCCCAGGCCGGAGTGCAATGGTGCAATCTCAGCTCACGACAACCTCCACCTCCCTGGTTCAAGCGATTCTCTTGCCTCAGCCTCTGGAGTAGCCGGGATTATAGGCATGCACCACCACACCCAGCTAATTTTGTATTTTTCGTAGAGACGGGGTTTCTCCATGTTGGTCAGGCTGGTCTCGAACTCCCAACCTCAGGTTCACCTGCCTTGACCTCCCAAAGTGCCGGGATTACAGGCACGGGCCACCGCGCCCAGCCATGTGCCCAGCTAATTTTTTTGTAGAGACGGGGTTTCACTTTGTTGCCCCAACTGGTCTCAAGGGACTCTCCCTCCTCAGCCTCCCTAAGTTGCTAGGATTACAGGCCTGAGCCATTGTGCCTTTGTTTAAAAGCCCAAGCTTTTAAACAAAGTTAATTTTATTCAGAAGTCTTACTGAAGCCGGGAGGCTGACGAGTACAGGCCAGGAGAAGTCTTTGAGAGAGGTTTTGTCAGAATGCTCCAGAACATCGTTTCAGGTCATAGCTTATATCCAGGTAGTGGAGATTTAGTGCATGCAAAAATCACATCAAAGTCTGGGCACAAGAGTTCATCTGGTTATAAGCCAGGCGCAGCGGCTCACACCTGGAATCCCAGAACTTTGAGAGGCTGAGGCAGGTAGATCACTTGAAGTCAGGAGTTCAAGACCAGCCTGGCCAACATGGTGAAACCCTGTCTCTACTAAAAATACAAAAATTAGGCCGAGCTCAGTGGCTCATGCCTGTAATCCCAGCACTTTGAGAGGCCCAGGTGGGCAGATCACAAGGTCAGGAGTTCGAAATCAGCCTGGCCAATATGGTGAAACCCTGCCTCTACTAAAAATACAAAAATTAGCCAGGCGTGGTGGCAGGCACCTGTAATCCCAGCTACTCAGGAGGCTGAGGCAGGAGAGTCACCTGAAACCAGAAGGTGGAGGTTGCAGTGAGCCAAGATCACACCACTGCACTTCAGCCTGGGTGAAAGAGTGAAACTCTGTCTCAAAAACAAAAAAACATTAGCGGGCTGTGGTGGTACACACTATAGACCCAGCTACTCGGGAGGCTGAGGCAGGAGGATTGCTTGAATCTGGGAGATGGAGGTTGCAATGAGCTGAGATTGCATGACTGCACCCCAGCCCGGGTGACAGAGTAAAATTCTGTCTCAAAAAATATAAAAATAAATAAAGAGTACATCTGGTTACAGATTGTAGAGTTATGATCACATCGGGTTATAATCACCACTAACCCTGTCTTATGTGTAGGAGAAGACAAGGCTAGGGTCATTTATCTTTTAAGGAACATATTGACTTAAGCAAGACACGTAGGCTGTGTGCTCTGTCCCATTATGTCTTCAGAGCATCTTTCCAGAGAGCTTCACGTGGTCACAGAGGCAGGGCTTTGTGAAATTATGTTGGCAAGCAGAAATGGGCACGCAGGCTTCTTGTGCTGCTGCTTCGTCTCACACGAGGTACTCTGGCACCCTGGTCCCACACCGCTCCTGCTGCTCCTGGCCTCAGTGGGGAGGAGGGCCTCTTTGGCCAGCCTGCCTGGGGTTCTGTCACCCGAGT